GTGTAGAAATCAAACAGGGTGTGGATAAAATGTACAAATTTAATGTTAAAATAGTAAAAAAAAAATTATATATATATATATATATATACATATACACACACACACACATATATTATACACATTTATAATACTATTATAATATTACATATATCATATAATAGTAAAATATATTAAATCTGCACTGTTCAGAACAAATGCTAAGAGATACATCAGCGTTTTAAAAGCAAAGAAAGGTCCTAATGGTGCAACTGTGTTCTTCTGTCTGAGCTTTCCCAACAACGACAGCACGGCATCTCTTATCCCAGCGGGGACGCCGAGAAAGTTGAGAATAATGACCCACGAGGGCCCTTTTATTTTTACTTTCTTAAATGTTTCTTTCCCTTTGTGAAGCAAGCCTCTCTGTGGGATTCTTTTGATCTCTCTTTCCCTCGCTCCAGCTCTTTTTTTCTTAGAGAATAAGCGTCTAGGTAAGCATGAAAAAAACCCTGCTACCTCCACTGAGATCGACAACAAGACTAACCCCTCAGCAACTGATATCAAGGGAGACATTAAAATCCTCAAAATGGATGGGGACTTTTCCTTAGCAATCTCTTATCATAAGACAGCGAGCAGGAGAACAAATGGAGAACAGCTGCTGCAAAAGAGAAAACGTGTGCACTTTCAGAAGAATATCTCAACGCTGCGGTGCTGTGGAACTGGCTACTTGCAGGATGATCCAAAGTGACAGGAACTTGAGTCCGCACAGGCCAGTTAAAATCTAAACAGAAATCTACACCAGAGGCATAATCATGCCATATTGCAGTTTGATAGAGTTATTAATCATAAAACACATTAGCTCCCTGTCCGTCTTGTTCTATATCTAAGCAATAAGGTACAAGAGGAAAATTGTCTAAAAGATTGATTGATCCAAACAGAAATATTAATAAAAATGTAAATAAAACTTTATACAGCTACACAACTATTCAGTGTGAATTTTTTAAAGAAATTAATACTTAAATTAGAAACATAAAAATTAATTTTTCACAATAATACTATTTTTACTGTATTTTTGATCAGATACAGTAAATGTTTAGAGAAATTATGCTTCTAGCATCACAATAGTTGCTGAATGGAAAAAAGCGCAAAAAAAATATTTTTCTTATGTATTTCTAGCTTCACAATAGTTGCTAAATTGAAAAAAAATTATTTTAAAAATAGCACAAAAAAAGCTCCACCTACATTGTCATCTTAATGCAGGAAAGCAGACAGGAAGACAACGTGCTACTTCCTGTGTCATCCTAGACCTTTGCTCTGCTGGGAGTCCACCCTTGATAAGACCACAACGCTCAACAGACAAAAACAAAGCTCTGTCTGTACATGGCGCAAAAGTTTTTTTCTGTCTTGTTCGGGTCATAAATCCAAGTCAAAGCTTCCTGCTCTCTCTTAGAGAACTGACGAGGGCCGGTAGGACTCAAAGCGGTGGGCGTCCCGCTAAAGTCGTAAATCTAACAATACAGAAACACAGAGATTGTGCTGGTCATTAGTTAGTGTCAGAAAACAACACAGACGCCAGCCTCCACAGTGACGATATCCTCACACATTCCTACACTTCCACAGACACAATCGCATCTTTCCTGTGTTTTTCCTTTTGCACTTGGGGTTGATACAAAGCAGATAAAAGCTGCTCACACTTTCCTGTCGGGCCCATAGGGAAATAGCGCATGTACCCCATAAAAGAAAAAAAAAACACCAGAGAAAAAGAGAAACACTCTGTATTAATACATCACAGACAACACACACACACAAAACTTTTAGGAGACTCCAAAAAATGAAGGCATGCAACAAAAACTAGAATATGTCTATATACAGTGGGCTGACACTTAAGTATTCATCTGTATTTTAAGTATACATTATATTTATTTAGGCTAGTTAATATATTTAGTCAATTATATTTAGTCATTTTACGCAACAGAAAGCTGCTTTGTTCTCCGAAATTTTGCTAATGACCGCACCTTTAGGATTCCATTTGAGACAATATTATCTTTCAAGAACTCACATACTAGTACAACCTGATATAATGAGAAAATGTATGAATTTATATCATTAACATGCTAAAACACAGCATCAACCTGCTAAAACACTCTAAGAAGAAATTGCATTTCAACCTTTGCGAGCTTCCAGAACAATTCCATCCATATTTTTCTAAGTTGCACAACAATATCAGAATGTGTGATTAACTGACTAACTCCGTCTGGCATACAGAATGAAGATGCAACAGAAAAGCAAGCACAGTCTGCATTAACCTGAGGCTAAACGAAAAAATGATCTGCCAAGACCTCAAATTAACCAAGCTAAAATGCTTCACTGGAAAACAACTTGCCTTCTTGCCTGGTTTTATTCCCCCTTTTTCCTGGCGTTTGCTTTTAGAAGCACACCAAATCTTCAGCTTTTTCACATTTATGATGCCATGTTCAAAACAGCAATATAATTTTCCTCCGAGATTTTAACCTTCATGCAAAATTAAAGTGAGTACAAATAGAAGCAGGTTGACGGAAGAAATTAAATCGCTATACTTAGCAGGCTGACATACTGAACATGCCAGTATCAAGCTAAAATTACTTGCTTTTTTATGAAAAAGAAGGCTAAAAACAGGATGCCAGAGTACATTCAAGTTTTAACATTCCAAGCATCGTTCAAAGAGTTGGAACTATTTACAGCAGTAGTGAATTCAGTACTTTAAATGCTCAGCCATGTGAAAATAAACTCCAAATAAGGATGATAGGTGAATCACCCTTCAGTTCACACACACACTGGACTTTCGACTTCACAAGACAGCTTAACTAGGTCTGCCAGTCAGCCTAAAATTTTAGGGTGAAGTCATTAGTACAGTAAGCAATGGGCTATAGACCACACACACACACACACACACACACTCACAAAGTGCCCTGCGAAATCGCTGAAGGCTGAAAATATCAGGGAGAACCCATCTCATGTCAGCAAAGCTCGGCGTTAAATTGAACCAAGTCTTGTGGGTAATGATAAGACTCTTTATTAGCCAC